ATACTAACAAAGGTGGATACCACATCTATCAAAGGGCTATAATAATTACAAGAATATTAGATAGAAACCACACAGCCAGGGACGCCACACCCAAATTACGATTTCGTAAAACAAGTAAAAAACAAACTAAACAAAACATAATTTTTCCCCATCAGCTAAGCCTTGACAGTTCCAGAGCCTCGGTCTTTCTCACTCGGACTCATATTCCAGCGGGGCCACCTCATCGATGACCAGTTCCTCTTCGCACTTAATGTTTTCCTGTTTCGGGGACAATTTTATCATCGTGTGGACCTTCTTATGGCGTGAGAAACTGGAGGAGTGAACGAAAGTTTTCCCGCACTGTGGGCATTCGTAGAGTTTTCCCGAAGCGTGCGTTTGCTGGTGCTGCTTGAGGTTGGAGAGCCGAATGAAGGTCTTCTTGCAGACGTTGCAGGTGTAGCACTTGTCGCTGGAGAGTCTGGCGGTGTGGCTGAAGCGTTTCTCACACATGCGCTCATCGTTCGGCAGGCACAACCTCTTCTTGCCCCCTTTACCGTGCTTGTTCTTCTTGCACAGGGTGTAGTAGTTGGGCTTGTCGCTGGAGCAGAGCTTCAGGCGGATCTTGAGGTCCGAGGACTTGTCGAGCGAGGCTTTGCCGTGCGTGTAAGAGTTGAGCAGCTGTCGCACGTGAGCCACCTGGTGCTTGGAGAGTCCTGCGGAGTGGCTGAAGACCCTGTCGCATTGCGTGCACTGGTACTGCTTTTCTCGCTCGCCTGAGGAGAGGCTCGCCGTTCTTTTACTCGTGCCGTGGCTGGATGGGAAATTGTGCTGGGTCATGATGGGAGCCGGGGTTGGAGTTGGGTACAACCGTCTGACGTTTTCATCCAAGCCTTTTTTGTGGATTAACCGATGCCTCGACAGACTAGAGCTGTGATTGAACGTTTTGCCGCAGGTGTTGCACGTGTGCAGTCTCTTGGTTTTGTGGCATTTCTTATGTATCGCCATAAGCCGCTTGCCGTTGCACCTTACCCCGCATAGATTGCACTGGAGAGACTTTTTGTTGCCGCACAACTTGCTGAAATCTTTAGAGGAAGTGAGGGATGATCTATTCGAGTGTACGTGCAGATGGCGAGCAAGACTGGAGGAATGGCTGTAGCTCTTTCCACAAAAGCGGCAGTTATATGTTCTAGCATGAGACACCTCCCTTTCCCAGCAAATATCAGAAAGGTCCTCCTCATCGCGAAACTGGCTATTCCCTGCTTCTGTGTTGTAGGTGAAGTCTGACTCACTGCCCACCTCCTCCTCATGCGTCGCAATCAAATCTGGAGCTGCTTCGTCACATTCTGGGTAAACTGTGTCGTAAGGGACATAGAACGTCTCATCCGGTTCGACTTTCACCATCTGATTGGCGGTGAAGCAAGCATCCTCGTCCAAATCCTTTTTCACGCAGGTTATAGTGAATTTTGAGCCCACCTCGGCCCACTTGACCACATATTCGATGGGCTGGGTGTCAAGCTCTACCGTGATGAAGTCTGCTCCTAAAGCGTCCTGCTCGGAGCAGGTCAGCTCTGTTTCTGTCTCCTCCATCTTCACGGCCCTTCTGTTGTTTTCTCGTGGGGGGGCTGTGACTAGTCCAGGCTTAATTTACACCTCAGCTAATCCTAGTAGGAAACAAAAACAAACAAAAAAATCTTGAGTTTGATTAAACAGTACCAGCAATAATAACATACATACAGTATTTTTTTTGAGAATAATGCCTGACAAATTTGTCTGGTTTAGAAGCTAACAGAAGTGAATCTCCCCATTTGTGTCAAGTTGTCAATGAATAAAGAAATATCTCTGTTAAAAGAAGTTCATTTAGTGTAGATAGCAAGTAAAACAGACCTTTTGTACAGTCACGGGAAAATATTACTACATGTGTATCAGCATTACATTAATCGCAGGCCATTGAAAAAACTATTTATGCCGGAGACTCATGATCTAGGATGCAAGATATTTTACTATATTTTTTATAGGCTTTTAAGCTTATATGCACGCCTACAGTATAATGAAGCTTGAATGTATCTGCAGCATTAACAAACATCAAGCAGACTTGTCCACGACTGACATTAATGAGATCCAAACAAGACCGTTCTGAAGAATCAGTCTTACATTTAGAGAAGGTTCTACACTGACATTCTGACATTTACAGAATACTCTTAAGAATCACTCTGACATTTAAAACACCGTTCTTTCTGGCATCAGAGAACATTCCGAGGAATCATTCTGACATTTAAAAGCGTTCAGAAGAATCATTTGGATATTTGGAGAGCATCCTGAGGAACCGTCCTGACGTCCAGAGAACCTTCTGAAGATCCACTCCGACATTCAGAGACCGTTCAGAAGAATCACTCAGATATTTAGGCGCCGTCCTGAAGAATCGTTCTGTCAAATCGGTCGGAAAGCGATAACATGTCGACCTGTAAAATGAAAGCGGAAGTCCGCGCCAGGGTATTTCCTCATTTCCTCAAGTCTCGCCGATCTCCAATTTTCGCGTGTTTAGCGTTACCTTAGGCTTATTAATTTATCAACTCGCCTTCTCTGATCAATCGTGGCAAAAGAAATGCATAGCAATCTACTTGAAACCTCGGCAATAAAGGAAAAACAACCAAACAAAAGCGTCCCGACGGTAAACAGGAAACTGTGCATCAACACGGTGCATTCTGGGAAAGGATTAAACTGGGCTGCAACCGAGTGTGTCCAACTGTATTTAGTCTTTTAAAACATCCCAGCTCTCTTCTGTTCAAGATATCCACGTCAAGAACGTTTTAAGGTCTTAATACTGAAATGCGCATAGGACTGTGCTATTAATCTCACTGACCTTGTGATGCCCGACTGTAACTTACACATATTATAATGGCCAGGATTCAATCGGCCCGCCATAAAATTGCACATATATTCAACATCACAGATCTGAGCGTATCTCTCGCACCGAGGCCCAGACACACACACACACACACACACACACTGAAACGGAATATACGATGTGCACAGGCTGTACTTTCTGTACTACTGCCAGCTCGTGCTGAAATAGCTCCCATACGGTTGCTCGAAAGCACATAATAGTATAATCACTGACCATTTCGATGTATGCATGAGAGAAAACAGACAATCCGTGAATAAAATCGCTTTTGATCGCTTATTCGGATGCTTCACTTGAAGAAACAACAATAAAATACACTTCAGAAAGCGCGTAATCTAATCTGTAGACAGAGCCAGAGGTATGATTCTGAGCAAGACTCAAGAGAGTGGCATATGGCATGATCTCAGATATACTTAAATTCCTCAATACAGTCACTGAGAGCCACTGTAATATTCTTCCTGTCGCCTCACTGCACTTCATGTGTTTATTAACCAAACGCGTCCACTGTTTGATCAGTATGCACGCTTCTGAGTCCGTTAAAATGTATTTTAAAGTAATTACCAAGCATGTAATATGCTGTTTGGTGGTTGGAAATCGGCTCGGTTCTGCCGCACCTCTGTCAGATCATCGCCGACGACGTAACGGATGTCTTTTCTTTTTTTCCACCGGTGATGTACATACCATATGGATGGACTTCCGCATTCCACTGTCAATACGCTTTTCATTTGATTAAAAGCACTACACTGCAAACAATAATATCCTTGTAAACAGAACAGTTCATAACAGTATGAATACAAAAATGTGTTTAGAAGATGTGACACACAAAGTAATTAAAAAGATACTGATTAATATAATATTTCCCAAGTTACAGAAAAAGTCAATAAATCCCTTTTGAAATAACATATGCTCATTCACAACAACGATTAATTGAATTTATCATTTATATAATAATAATAATGCCAGAGGAAATAAAAAGAGAAAAGATGTTGTTTTACTTAACTATCGAAATGAGTTTTTAATAATAATATTGCATGCTCTAGCTATTTTACTTTTACAGTTATATAAAACATGCAGTACATTATTAGTTTTACATAATGTGTAAAATGAAAAAGAGGGTCTGGAGGCACTGAATAATTTTTATGCAGCCTACATTCTTCAGTAATTAACAGTGTTGGGGGTAACGCATTACAAGTAACGCGAGTTACGTAATCAGATTACTTTTTTTAACTGTAAAATAAAATAAATAAATACTTTTTTAATAAATAAATACTTTTTGTAACATGGCAATTGATCATCACTTCCTAAAGTTGTAAAATTACAACAATTTCAACGCTAGACATTAATACAAAGCAAAATACATTTAAAAAGCGTTTCCTTTCATTACTAAGTAAAATTATGAGTAATCTATAAGAAATTCCATTTAAAACGTTTCAGTAACAGGTTTCATATTCCCCTCTAAATACACAGCTATAGATATATAAATTCCATACATTATTTTATACGAAACTTTTTTTTTTGCGTTATTAATAAACAATTTATCAGCTGTTCTGCAAATCTCCGAATGAATTCGCTTTAGTTTCACTTTCCGTATGTGTTCATCTGGCCAGAAATCATTTGCGGTCGCAAAAACGGTCGTGTTTCTGCTTCAGTAAAGCTTTGCGAGTTTATTTCATATTCACAGTTTGTCCCCATCACCACACGGGTTATTCTTTCTTAGACTATAACACAGTACAATGTTAAACGAGTGGGTTTGAGTGATGAGAACTGTTTGTGATGGTTAGTTCAATGACCGTAAAGCAGCTTACTTTACGGCAAACAAGAGGAGCTTCAGGTTAAACATTCGCCATGCAGTGGTAGCAAAAATGGTACGACTGAAAATACTTAGTAATTAAACCATTTGATTGTGTTCTTGAAAAAATAGACCAACTGCCAGGCAGCCAGCTCCTCATGCGACCTTATTACTGACCTGCTAAGTTAAAGCTCATCAGGGAACAGATCGCATTTGTTTTCCGATGTTTTTTTTGGCAAACATTAGTGCTCAAAGCTATTCCTATAAGTTAGGCATATCTTTAAACGTTTAACTGAGTAAAAAAAGGTTTACGAACCTCTGAAGCTAGACATGGATAAGGAGCCATCAGGACCATCTAGCACAGGCTCAAGAAGTGCAGGAGGCTTCGGTCTGTTTGGATCTGCTGGCCCCCAGACAGAGCTCGCTGGAGTGCCATGTAAGTCCACTATACAGTGGGTACGGAAAGTATTCAGACCCCCTTCAATTTTTCACTCTTTGTTATATTGCAGCCATTTGCTAAAATCCGTACCCACTGTATATTATATTACTAATGTGCATATGATTCAGTAGCTCACTAAAGCTGCTTTTCTTAACAGTGGCAGGCATGAGTCCTCTCTCGCCATACCTTAATGTGGACCCCAGGTATCTCACTCATACAGGTGAGCTCAGATGGCCATTAGCTACATTTATTTGTTTTTAATATATGAGATTTAAAGGGGTAGTTCACCCAAAAATGAAAATTCTGTCATTAATTCCTCACCCTCATGTCGTTCCAAACCCGTAAGACCTTCGTTCATCTTCGGAACACAAATTAAGATATAGACAGCAAGGGAACTATCACGTTCAAGGCACATGAAGTCGTTATTTTTGTTTTCTTTGCACACAAAACATATTCTCGTAGCTTCATAAAATTAAGGTTGAACCACTGATGTCACATGGACCATTTTATCACAGTGGCAGGCATGAGTCCTCTCTCGCCATACCTTAATGTGGACCCCAGGTATCTCACTCATACAGGTGAGCTCAGATGGCCATTAGCTACATTTATTTGTTTTTAATATATGAGATTTAAAGGGGTAGTTCACCCAAAAATGAAAATTCTGTCATTAATTCCTCACCCTCATGTCGTTCCAAACCCGTAAGAACTTCGTTCATCTTCGGAACACAAATTAAGATATTTTTGATGAAATCCGAGAGCTTTCTGACGCTGCATAGACAGCAACACAACTGACACGTTCAAGGCCCAGAAAGGTAGTAAGGACATCGTTAAAATAGTCCATGTGACATCAGTGGTTCAACCGTAATTTTATGAAGCTACGAGAATACTATTTGTGCGCAAAGAAAACAAAAACAATGACTTTATTCAACAATTTCTTCTCTTCCATATCAGTCTTCGACGCGCATTCAGTCTTCAACTTTTTGTCATCATTTCAACTTAATTATGTCGTAGTATCTCATCATTTCAACTTTTTATTTCATCATTATGACTTAGTATCTCATAATTTTGTCATGTCATAATAATGATGAAAGGTCGAAATTATGAATTATGAGGTAGAACATATGACCTTTATTTAACCAATAGAAAACATCACAGAAATGAAAAATCTCTCTTACAGGAATGTTCTGAATGAACTGTGACTGAGATAAAGAGTCAAAATTATGAGATGAAGTCATTATGACATAAAAAGTCAAACTTTGACCTCATAATTTCAGCTTTTTGTCATAATTTTGCCTATTTACATCAAAACTTTTTTCTCTTTATCTTATAATTATGACTTAGTATGTCATAATTTCAACTTTTTATCTCAATTTATTATTTCATAACTCCAACCTTTCTCATTATGACATATTTATGATTTACCAAAGCATGAATTTTGTTTTCTTATGTGGCGGAAATGGGCTTCCATAGTATCTCTTTAATGAGATTTCCCCAGATAGGTTAAACAGGATTTTCCACTGCATTGATGGTTTGTGTTACTTCTTGCTTTCACATCTTTCTACACCTTGCATGCGCTCATAAGCATTTAACCAGCAGAGGGCAGTGTTCACTACAGTGTGCACTATGCCTTTTATAGGAACAGAAACAGCAGATATGCATTTCCTGGTAAAGGTGGGGTCAGGTAACACACAATAGGGTTATTCCGTGATGTCAGTGGAGCACAATTCATGAATAGGCAGATAACACTGAGCACTTCCATCACATGTTTGGTTTGTGGTGATGCGCCACATTCCACTATAACCAGAGTCATGTGTATTTTTCCTTTGAATTGAAATTGTGGTGCGGACAGTTGGTGGGGTGTATACTGGTTGTGACGTCACAAAATGGAGAAGAAAACAGAAACCAACAAAACAGCTCTTGCGTAAAGAATCAGTGAATGTCAAATCCCACATTTGGACCTCAAGCCCTTAATCAGCCAGTATGTATCAGAGAAATGGAGAATGTCAAAACAACAAACTATTTGAAATAAATCCTGTGGTGTACCGTTTTAAATCCAGACATGACCAAGTTGTGCATACAAGGTGTCATACAGGCCAAAAATCAATATTGCAGCACTAACATATCTATAAAACAAATGTTTTTGATCTGCCCAATTTGTATTGTCATGAGACAACGATTTCAGGGCAAACTTCAAATGTTTTATTTTGTACGATGGACCCAGAAAAACTTTTACAATTGTTTATCAAAAGCACATTTAAAGAATCGAGTTGTATATTCAAACGTGATAAGAAATGTCATTTTAAAGTCCTAATTATGAGGTGAAAGGTCAAAATTATGAGATAGAAAGTCAAAATTATGAGATTAAGTCAAAGTTCTGACAAAAAAAGTTACATTTTTGTCTCAATTTAGAAATGCTTGTTTATTATAATGCCTGTTGAATATTATATCTGACAAGGCAATATATTTAAATACAAGCAACCAACAGAACAACAGTGTGGCCACTAAATATACTAACTAAACATTCTTTAGCTAAAAAAAAACTGTAAGCTGATTTCAAGACTAATTTGATACTGATATTACAACACTTGGTTCCTCTTCTATCAATGGTTGTGTTTTTGCAGCCGTTACTGACCTGAAGAAATGATTTGAGCAACAACTTTCAGCATGATTCAACTTGATTATTTAAAAGTTTTTATCTTTCAAATGACTAAAGGCAAACAAATAGGCCTAGTGATACACTGCTAGTAGACATTGACATTTTCTATCAAAAACTCTTTATTTTGTACATTTTACATTCAATTTTTTTGTTTTGTTTTTTAAAGTTATTGATAAAGATATGTTGTGACAGCTGTTTTAAATCAATAGCTCAAATACATCTGTGTACACAGCTGTGTGACCAAAAGTGTGGTCAAGGCGGCATTAAAACATGTTCACGTGTACAGTGGGCCAAAGTCTGCCGCTCTACTGCAGTTACGTGAAAGACAACACCACTGTCAGCAGAATTATAGGATGTTTAGGTGAAAATGTGTTATGATTACCCTGCCGTAATGTACAGTATTTCTAGGAAGTTGTTATTGAATGAGTCAACCTTGGAAGTCCAGGTGCCTGATTCATGTGTAATGAAGCAAAAATATGCATGTGTTTATTTGCACAAAGAACAGCCTTTTTGTTAATAGACTAATGTGATATTATGGAGCCCATGGGGCCGTTTCCCAAGACTTACTTCTGTATTTTAATTGTGTTGTTGGAAACGGGGAAGTCGTGGCCTAATGGTTAGAGAGTCGGACTCGTAACCCAAAGGTTGCGGGTTCGAGTCTCGTACCGGCAGGGATTGTAGGTGGGGGGAGTGAATGTACAGCGCTCTCTCCACCTTCAATACCACGACTGAGGTGCCCTTGAGCAAGGCACCGAACCCCCAACTGCTCCCTGGGCGCCGCAGCATAAATGGCTGCCCACTGCTCTGGGTGTGTGTTCACGGTGTGTGTGTGTTCACTGCTGTGTGTGTGCACTTTGGATGGGTAAATGCAGAGCACTAATTCCGAGTATGGGTCACCATACTTGGCCACATGTCACGTCACTTATCACTTATTAAATCCCTATTTCTGTATATTGCATGTTGTTTTAGCATGTTGTTTTTGTTGTTTCATGTGACTTTGTTTTAAACTCTTAATCTCCATTCTTCTCTCCCGTTCAGGATCCTGAATATGGTGACCCGCCAAGGTGCCACATGGGCAAACACTTTGAATTCAATAGGTGAGTGGCCCAATTTCAGCCTCCTTCCCCCACAAAATGAATCTTGTCCATCTTTGTAGTCGGGTCAATGCTCATTTGAAACAGAAGGGTATTTTTATTTAGTCTCAGTATTTTTTATTTTGAAGTCATTGATTAATTCAGACAACCAATCTCTGTGTTGAATATATTTATATTGGTGGTGCATGTGTTTAGCTCTGCTGTACAGTGCATTTGGGGTGAACTTTGAGAAAGCCAGAGGGGCAGAGGACGACGTCAACACCATTGCTGCAGGAACTCTGACTGGTGTCATCTACAAATCTCCAGGTAGATCATGTATAATATGTTTAGAACATTGTGTTATCTTTAAGATGCAGAAAAAAAACACATTTTGTCAGCAGACTGAAGGGGAAGATGTGTACTTCCTTTTCTGTAGAAGACTTATTTGAGGAGAAAAGGGAAATTGCTTTGAAAACCATTATACGCCAAGATCTTTTACAGAAAACATTCTTTAACTTTTATCAAATTCTTGTTAATAAAATTAACAGATGTTACATAATGCTTAACACATGGTTAACTAATATGTAGTCACTTTAGAGTTTGAATAGTCATGGAATTTTTTGTATATATTTTCATGTCCCCAAAGTATTTAGACTCTTAAAAACATTTAGATATACAACATTATAGTACAACTGTGAGCATCCACTTTTTCAATGACCTCGGTTTTGGAAATAATTTCCCCTATTCATTTTCTCCATAGGCATTTTTTGTTTTTTTATCTTCTACGATCTAACTAATCAGCTCCCACATCAATTGCAACATTTTAAACTTTGACTTGGAGCAAAAAAAGTATTATGAAAATCCAGGAAAAAAAAGTCAAAGGCCATGTTCTTCAGTGTTGTTGAGAAAATGAACTACAGTTCCATGACGCAGTGAGAGAAGATGGTAAAAATATAAAACATTATTTATAGGTTATAAAATATGATTTTACAAGTATAAAAACAATAAATGTAAAATGTTTTGCAAAATATGTATCTAGATACAAATATATTACCATTCAAAAGTTTTTGAAAGAAATTAATACTTTTATTCAGCAAGGATTTATGAAACTGATCAATCACTGTAAACACATTTCACAGCACAACAGCTTATCAGAATGATTTCTGAAGGATCATGTGACACTGAAGACTGGAGTAAGAAAAAAAAAAAAGGTTCTTTGAGGAACCCAAATGGTTCTTCTATGGCATCACTTTGAAAATCCACTTTTGGAACCTTTATTTTTAAGAGTTTAATACTTTAAGGTTTGGATTCTCATAGGTGAGGAGACTTTCATAGGGAGCTGCTTGAGAAAAAGTTGTTACACAATATAGTGAGTGATGAGTGCAACTTAAAGAGGAGAAGTTCATCGAAAGATACATTTAGAAAAACTGTTTAGTTTTCACTTGTTTTGTTTCCTGAAGTTATGCGTGTTGTGTTGCAGGAGGTTTGCGGGGGGCAGCGCGGGGCGGGTTGCTTAGGCCGACGCTTTCTGGGCTCTATGCTCTCTACAATAACTGGGACCATTTGAAGGGAGGCTCTCCTACCTGCTACTGAAGCTTCTGTCAAAGATACTCAACAAATTAGTACAAAAAAATTAGTCAATTTTTGTTTCTTTCTAAATTCAATGTCCATTAACTTTAAAGCTAAGATGTAAATGTCAAGGAACTGCTCTTTGAGGCTTCAGATTCATGACAATCTCCTAAAAATATATTGTTTAAGATTAAATATGAGCAATATTTTAAACTATTTATTAAAACTTATTTTGGACAAAGGTTAAACTTAACGGTTCATTAATGTAACTGATAGATTATCAGGTGTGTGTGTATATAACCTATGCAGCCAGTCGTTGCTTGTTTTCAATGTTTGTAATACATTCAGCAATCATGCAAAACCGCAGTCTATAATATAACCAACTGTGAGTTTAAAAGCATGTGTTGGAACAGAACAAAACTTTGCACTAGAAACAGATAATGAGTGCTCACTCAAATATCTTTGCTGTAATATTTGGTAATTATGAATGTAGGAAATGATACTTGGATACATTGCCTTGTCATTCCATCAGCACTCTGTTAACGGACACCAGTGTTCACTATAAAGTTGAGATGTTGTTGAAATGAGGTTTCTATGACTCCATGGCATTTTATTTTCTTTTCTGTTTAGGTTCCTCTTTCTGTGAGCATGAACTTTTACTGTGTGTTAGGAAACAGAAACTTGAAATCAGTCACTTTATGACAGGAAACACATTTATGTACTTTTATTTATTCAGTTGACAAGGATCAAAGCATTAGAGATCACTTAACCTACATATGTGTACATGTGCAATACTGCAGTCCAACACTGGCACATGCTGACAGAAAAAAAGTCCATTACTAAGCGAAAGACTGGAACATGAGATGACATTATGATTTATTCTATCTAAAAGAAGCGGTTTAATTTTTGAACCAGTTTCACATGTAGCCTTTGCTCTGCAAGTGCAAAGAATAAATCTGGTCTTTTATGTTGACAGGGTGGTTCACAGCAGAGGCATCAAGCGATACAAGTGGTTATTATAGGAGCAATTCAATTTAAAAATAACTATATTGATTCTATTCTAAACATTTACCACAAGTTGTTGCCTAACACAAAGACCACACAAACGTCGGCTGCTGTAGCCCATGACACCGCAGAAATGGCAAACTATGATAAGATTGTTTTCCACACGTACGAGGTGGACTGACAGCAAGCATTGCTACACATTCAATGTCAGGCACGAGTTATCAGACTTCTCGAGGTTTCAATAACAAGTTATGCTATGTTTAGCCAGTATATGAGTTTTATGTGCTACTAAAGTATATCATTTAATCATTGAAATAAAGTAAAATAAACTGCAAGGGAAGCTCATTCTATACTTGAGAAAATAGTAAAATTCTATATAAATATATATTCAAAGAATTGGAGGAAATCATTCTCTGCTTTAAGGCATGACTTCCTCTATATGAGCAGGACTGAGTTCTGAAACGTGAATAGTAAAAGCTGTAATTGTGCGTGATTTAAATATAGATTTATTTTTTGTTTGTTCTTTTCAAACCCCCTCCCCCACTACGCCTCCATAGGGGAAAGAAGTAATTGTTTTGTATGCACCAATCTGGTCAATTTCCTCGTGATTTCTAAATCACATTAGTGAATTCTAATATAAACACATTGGTCTCCTCCACATTACTGGAATTTAACTGTGTTAAGCCAATAAAAGTGCAAAATGACTAATCCGTCCTCAAGTGATGGTGTACCAAAAGCCTTGCCTCCTGGACAAGACCTTTAGTCCAGATCACCCTTTCAATCTCCAGAAGATTACAGAGAGAATGAATCCCTAAAGAGCACCGAAGAAAAATATTGTGCAATAATAAGTGATTAAATAGCACTGGAGTCAATCTCCAAAAGCCAATGGATGTTGCATTCATATCTGAAAAACAGAAGAGAAAATGGTTTTACTTTCTCTGAATAGAAAAAAAAAAAAAAAAAAAAAAAACTCTCCTT